CAATCTTGGTCATGAAGTAGTTAGAGTGGACCACAGGAGAGGGGATGGAAGAGGGAGTGGCAGGTGCGGTAGAATATGGGTGGAGCAAAGAGTTAAGGGTATTGAAGAGCAGAGCCGGGAGTGGAGATAGGGACGAAATGAGGGAAATAAAGTTTGATTGACGAGCAGCCTCTAGGGCCAAAGTGTAATTTGATAGTAGGGAAATATATGAGAAACGTGAATCATCAGTTGGTGAGGTCCTCCAGATGTGCTCTGATTTGTGCACGAGCTGGTACTATGACTTTCGCATGAGCTGGCGCTGTGACTTGAGCATCGGAGACAACCAGTCACGTGCGGTCAGGGGAGGCAAGGGAGGCAGAGCCTCACCTGTCATACTCCAATGAAAATAGCTGTTATGAAAAGTACAATAATAATAATAAAATAAATATTAAGATTTTTCCACTGATCTGTGTTATAAATGTCATTTCTGTATGACTCCATTGATTTTTATAGTTAAAATCGCCAAATTTGCGGAGCTCCACTGCAAATACAGGGAGAGACGAGAGGTGAGGCAGTGACGAGCTCAGCCTCTCCTCTGATTGCGCAACCCCTCAGCAAATGGATGGAGCGTGGGCAATAAGCGCGTGTCTGTTACTATCTCTCTGTATGTCACCAATGTAATGTTTGTAGACCCCTTCATTACATGTCCTCGTCTTCCATAGTCCAGATAACTTATTTCACGTATATGTATAAAGATATTTAGGCTCGCTGGTCTCGTCATAAAACTGCAATGAAAAAGCACCAGGGGAGGCAGCTATCACATCTGCCTCACTGAGGGGGTGTGTCAGACACGCTCCCCTCAGACACGTGTCAGACACGCCCCGCTCAGTGTGTAAATCTGGCTCTAATACTAGCCAGTGCCTTTCCAGCCATTGACCTCACCGTACATCACTGGAGACAATAAAAGGACTAGGGGCGTATTACGGAGGGTGGAAGGGGAGTAGAGGTGCAAGCACGTCGAAAGAGGAAGAAAGAACTGAATTTAGGACAGCAGAAGCAGTGTCGGGGTACAGGGAGGAGAATCAGAGATGGGGGGAAGAGATGAGGAAACCAAGGAAAGAAGTGCGCAGTAGTCAAGGGAGTGCAGGTTGCGGTGGAGGCATGGAGGTATGGGGGGAGGTAGGGAAGGTGCAGTGATCGGACAGAGAGCAAGGGTCAACTAAAGGATTGGAGGCTGAGAAACTGGGAATGAAGATGAGATCGAGTGTGCTACCAGAGGAATGAGTGGGGGGAGAGGGATATGTGCATGTGTGGGCTGTGGTAACCCTTCTACCTGGCACTTCTTCCAAGCGCCACGGTGGAAACATGGAAATCAGCTCGTGCTGGAGGCCCCAGGGGACAGTCAATGTAAATCCGAACTGAAATGTTCAGATTTCCGTTGCAGAAGAGAGGCTGCCACACCTCTGTTGATATATGCACCGGTACTGCCTGCACCTCTGTGGAATATGAGGTCCAGTGGACCGGTTCTGGCTCCAGCCTTTATGATAGGCGGACAGTTCGTTACTTGGGCCAGAAGACTGCTAATTAAAAGGGTGTGGCACGTCTTTTCAACAAAATAATGAAGAGGTTGTGGGAGCATGGCAGTGAGGTGTGGGAAGCCGTAAATTCCAGGAAGCTGTGGGCTCACCTCCCCATCAACAAGATGCGAGGAATGGTGGTTGTCGTTGCTTGCGCCCACACCAAAATAAACATCAGTTGAGGGATACAGACAAGGCCCGATGAGTCGGACGCTTTCTATAACCTCCTCTCCCAGGAGCTAACTAAAGTGGCCCCTCAGGATAGAGTCACCCTTTTGTGTGACTTTAATGACCGAGTGGGTCATGATGCAGACACCTGTATTGGAGTGATTGGAAGTCATGGACCAGATCAGCCCAATAATTTATTAACAGTAGGAGGCTGTTAGATTTACGCGCCATGCATGGTTTTCTAATCTCCAACATGACATTCCGGCATCCACACATCATGGATTCACGCCGGGTCTAAGCAAGAACATTTGCTGGAATATATAGTGACAGACCAGTGGATGCGGGTCCATGTCCTTAACACCAGGACCTGCCATGGAGCTGATCTGTTCACTGACCATCAATTTGCCATCTGTATGACGCCTACCATTCTTCCACTCCGGTGGTGAGTATCTATCTAGGACCCCATTCAAAACAACAGTAGCTTGGTCTCAGCAAGCTGAGAAAAGTTGCAAGCAGGAATTTCAAAATAGCTTGCAGCTGGGGTTAACATATCCCACCCTCCTCCGAATGAGGGGAAATAGGTGAGGTTCAGGACTGTGGCTCATGCAGCTGAAATGGCTGCATTGGGTATGCAGTCCAGAACTCACCAGAGATCCTAGCTGAAGGAGGAGGTTCTCTGGCTGGTTGAGAGAAAAGGAGAGGCTCACTCTTGTTGTTTTACAAAATCAAACATTCTGAATCAGTTGAACGGCAAAATAACTCCGAATCAATGAGCGGCATTATCTTTTCATCGGCCGCGTAACGGTGTGTGGAAGCTACCTGGTCTGTCGTTCCATACGAACAGTCGGGTCTTTTCAGCCACAGACTTGCCCTTTTTACATACTTGTGAAACTTGGACTACTCTAATAGAACATCTGCGCTGGTTAGAAACATTCAGGCTGGCCTACCTATGAACTATCCTGAGTTTATCCTAGATGGATTGTGTGAGGAGCTCACAAATCCTTGAAAAATCTGGAAAAATACCCAGCATTGAGCTTATGGCAGATGAGCGCTTGGGTTGGGCAGTGGGACCCTGATGGAGGAAATGCCATCAAAAGCGGATGAGCTAATTCAATTAATTAGCCCAATGGCATTCACAAACTTAAGTCAGAGGGTAGATGGGGCTTTTCAACCATGGAAGGGACTATGAAAACAAATCTGTAGCAAACCCACCACCAAGCATCATAGGTTAATTCCATGCCGCTGGATACTGGTGAGCAAGCAGAGAGTGTGCGAGGACAATGCACAAGTCCCGAACCACTTTAAAAAATACACTGTGCATGCATCTCTAGCATATGTTGTGACAATATCTTTCCACCATCCTTAAACTAAGTTCGTGTAATCTTGATTTGAAGCTGTCGTGACTGCAGGAATCCATACTCTTTGGTTCTTTCGGTAAAGTTACGTAGGTAGAAAAATAATAGATTATGACGTTTCGACCGCAACATAAGCAATCGTCATCAGGTGGGACAACAACCGCAAGAAACAACTGCTGAAGTAGACGAGAGATCTGCTGTGGCACGAGGTTATATAGGCCTCGGCAGTAAAGGGGGAGAGAGAAGGGGGGGGAAGGAGGCGGGGCAGAAAGTGGACCCCGTAGCAGCACTGGAGAGATTGGCTGCAGGGGGGAGAGAGAAAGGGGGGGGGGGAGGGAGAAAGGGGGGGGGGTGGGAGGAGGCAGGGCAGAAAGTGGACCACGCGGCAGCACCGGAGTAGAGATCGGAGAGAGATGCACAGAGAGAGAGAAAGACACACAGAGAGTCGGAAATAACAGCTGATATAGGCATGTAGGATGGAAACATCACAGTCAGTTAAGACTTTACCTGGTTAATAACGTCCTTCCAATGATTGCTCAGTTTGTACCCATCTTCTCGGTTGAAGTTGTGTCTGTGTTTATATATCTGGATGGCTTGATGAACAAATCTCTGATTATAGCTGGTGGGTTTGCAGAGTACCTTCGTTTTGGGAAAGTCAATATCATGCGAGGCCACAGCGTTGTAACAATGGTCAGCTATGGCAGAGGTATTAGTTCTGCCGTGTTTCAGATCTGACTTGTGTTCGCAAACACGGTCCAAGACATGTCGTTTCGTTTCCCCAATGTAACTGCTGCCGCAATCACAACTCAGTTTGTAGACACCCGGGTATTGCATATCAGGAATCACATCCTTTACAGATGAGATCAAATCACGGATTTTGTGTACTGTGTTGAAACGAACCTGGATCTTATATTTGTTTAAGATTTTGGAAATATTTTTGGTAACCCCTGCTATGTATGACAAAGTGATGGTATTGGTTAGATCCTCAGATCGTTGTCTACCCATGGCTGGGAAGACAGCTTTGCGGATTGTACGGTCAGAATATCCGTTCATCCTGAGGGCTTGGAGTACGTGCTCCAGCTCACTGGCTAGGTGATGCTGGTCGGAGATGCAACGGGCCCTATGGTGTAGTGTTTTGATGAGGGAATTCTTCTGGGCTGGATGGTGGTGGGAGTCTGGCTTTAGATAGGCATCCGTGTGGGTGGCTTTCCTGTAGACAGAGTGTCCCAACCAGTGTACAGATCTCTTCTCGATCAAAACATCAAGGAATGGTAGCTTGCCATCATTTTCCCCTTCCATGGTGAGTTTGATAGATGGGTGTATAGAATTGATGTGGTTGAGAAATTGGTTCAGTGCTGGCAGGCTATGTGGCGAGATGACGAACGTGTCATCTTTGCATCTCTTCCACAAGGAAGGACGTAGGGTGGATGTCTGGATGGCATCTGCCTCAAATTTCTATATGAAAACATTCGCTACCACTGGCGATAAGGTAGAACCCATAGGAGTACTTTCATTTTGTTTGTAAAATGTACCATTCCAGGTGAAGTATGTGTTGGTAAGGCAGTTCCTTACCAAAGTTGGTACATCTGGATTCAGTCCTTGATGGACCAAGTCTTCAATGAGTGCAATGGTGTCAGATACAGGTACATTGGTGAACAGAGAGACTACATCTTAGCGTTTTTGAGGATAACATGAATTCTGTCTGGAGTTAATTATGTCCGGTTTAGCGACCACGCCCAATCACTCCATATATGGGCACGCTTCATTAACATAATTTAATCATACACCAATGCGCTCACCAAGGGGGCGGTGCGTGTATTAGTGACGTCATGTCATCTCCCCGCCGCGCGCTTCCGTGTGACGTCACGAGATCCCAGGAGCTGCTTCTGTGCGCACAATTCTAGGATCGGAGGTGAGAAGTTCACATCGTGATGTTGGTGGTTGTTGTTGTTGTTCACCCAGGTACAGCCTCGCTTCTTCTCTCCCTCTCTCTCTCGTAGCGATAGCAATTGAGTAGCGGCAAGTATGGAATCGATGTCCAGGTTGGAACGTTACTACGTGGGGCCGAGCCACTCAGGCCTTGCCTCCTGCCCTTGCCTCACTGACTTTGCTTTGATTCTCTTAAGTTTAATTTGTCTTCACCTGGCTGACTACTTCACCTCTCAGAGTCTCCATACTCTCGTTCAGGTTTGTTTTGCTTTCGGGGGGCGGGGGGGAGGCGATGCTTCTGCGCGTATTCCCGATTGAGTAATCTGCAGGCCGCTTGTCAACACTGGAATATTCGGACGATACCAGTCCAGACGTTTAATTTTAGTTCGGAATGAGACGTCAACGCATTACACAATTACACTCGCCCACCAACACGCTCACCCACACGCTCCCACTCATACAGTACGAGAGAGAGAGGGAAGAAGCAAGGCTGTACCTGGGACAATAACAACCAACATCACAATGAACTTCTCACCTCGGATCCTAGTGAGTAGCGCGCAAACCGAAGCAGGAGGATTTCTCTATAATATGTTTTTTTTTGGGTTAGATCACGTAAATATATAAATGTGTCGTTAAATCCGCCACCACCCAACAAAGCCAATTAGTAAGGTTTATTCACGTAAACAGAACATGCCAATGTGTTACTAGTACAGCACAGTGTTGGGGAGCCAAGCCACATTTGAGTACGATGTTTTGCCAGTAATTACAACTGGCTTCATCAGGCGACAGCCAGGTTTGTGGAGAAGTCCACCTGTTTTGTTCCTTACATAGAGGCGTAGTTGTGACGACAATACTTTCGTGCACTCTTCTTGTGCAAAGTGGGGGGATTAATGAATCAACGTGCATTATGCATGCACATTATGCGAGCTCATTGATCTTGTACTTCCTGTCTATTGTGTACACAAAAATAGTCCTACCAATAGTAATCCCTATTGAAGTATGGTGGCCTGTGTAGGCATGCATTTAAACAATGTATTGATGATTCTCTTCCAAGCAGCACTAAGTCTGTAGCTATCCGAACGGTTACAATTTTGATTTCTCTCAATTTCGATTCTCTAATTCGTCCCGTGCCGAATGATCAGCACGAGACTAACAGAACAATGCATATTAAATACTCCCCAATACAACTGTCAGCAGTAGCAGAACACACGTGCCAACAAGGAGACTAAATTGATTTTGAAAATGTTGAAGTTCTGTGCAAAACTTGTTACTACTGGCCAGACAAAGAGCAGATTAGTGGACAAATAGCCTCGTAAAAAATATAACACTTATGACTAATGCAGACTTGATGCATGTGGTAAAATATACCACAAGAACGTGTGGTATGCAGACCTGATAATGCCTTGCAAGAGTTGTCTGCAAATTTGACGTATGTATATTCTTGGTTCTTTCGGTAAAGTCACGTAGAAGGGAAACAAAATAATAAAAATATAAAACAAAATTCTCATGACGTTTCGACTGCAACACAAGCAATCATCAGGTGACTAACGAAAGAACCAAGAATATGAATCCCTGCAGTCACGAAAGCTTTAAATCCAAATTTGGACTGTACTTTATTTATATACTTTTTTTGTGAATTGCTTACCCTTAATCTATTTTGCATTCCTATCTTAGCCAACCATTTTTTTTCGTAAAAAAGGCTGATTTTAACACCTGTGTTCTTGCCGGAAAGAGTAAAAGCCTTTTCTTTTTTCATCAAAATATTTTAATCATAAATTTGGACCATGACACCAGTACACAATGGGCTACTCATGCAAGTAATGTGAGAGGAACGTTTAACATCCATTGTGAAGCAAATTATGTATGTTTGTGTGATTTACACGCCTCCAAGATTAATAATAAAATAATAATTTACTTTGTATGGTGCTGCATTTCATCCATGGATCACAATAATGCGCACTGTGTCACCCACTCAATCACCCACTTCTCGCTCACTTGCTCACCCACTCATTGACCCACTCTTTCACGAACTAATTTTCACCCACTCGCCCATTTGCTCACCAACTCCACCCACTTGCTCACCCACTCACTTAGAACCAGGGTAAATGGCCAAAATTATGCAGGGGTAAAGGCCAGTTTAAAGGGGTGAGTTTTTAAGACAGACTTAATTATATCTATCGACTCTGTCTTACTAATCAGGGTGACCGCTTAATTTGACCAGAATGGTGAACCTGGAATGCTGGATTGGTGACGTTTGCACGGCAGTGGGTCCAGCCTGCTTGAACAGTGCGTGGGCAAAAACTGCCCTGTCACTGAGAGAGGAGGCAGACTGACCAGTAGCTTCCACAGTCGGTGTGGGTGCCCTTGCCCTTTACACCCAATGCTCGCTTAGCGCTCCTCCAGATGCTTTGTTCCTGGAGAATTGAGCGGCAATCGATCAGCGCTCCATGGGGTCATCATAAACCCATTGTATACTCCATAGGATGCGTTCCTTACAATGTTATATCTTTAGTATGAATAATATGAGGGCTTCATTGGGGTATCGGTAATAGCGCTAATAATAATACAGATGCTAAACATTTAATAAAAATAATGATTTATAACATCACAATACTTATGAGTGCATTCTACTTTACTCATCCTACAAGGTAGTGGAGGGAGACAAGCTTGAAAGAGCTGCTGCGCTCCCAGTCCGGGTCATTCTCAGAGAAAGGCTTCAGGACCTCCCTCATCAGAGTGAAGCCCTCAATTTGTGTGGTGAGGTTTTTTTAGGTGGAGCCTGAGACTCTATCCTGCTCGTGTGAGTTCTCAACTGGCTAAACAAGTCAATGTTTTTAAAATATAATCATGACCACAAATCGTGATCATTGAATCGTGGGGGGTGGGGTCTGGTTGGCTTAGACCATGTGTCGTTCTCATTGGCCGAGCGAACAATGGGGCCGGGTACATTTGCTTGGCTTGTGCTGCTGCGTGTTCTCACTCGTGAGCACTTTGTAAACTTAAAAATTATAAACAAAAATATCTAAGACAGAGCGCTGTAACAAATCGGCACTAAGGGGTCGCACTAAGCGAGGTCTGCCTGTATATTGTGTGTAATATGTTTGTATCTGCAGAATCAATCACATGGAGAAGAGAGGCTCGGCAAAGGCTGGAAGTCAAAGGCACCAATGCATCCAGTGTCCATACAGCACAGATCATATGGGCAACTTGAAAAGACATCAGAGAAAACACACTGGCGAGAAGCCTTTCAAGTGCTCTGTGTGTGGAAAAGCATTTACACGGTCAGTATATATCCATATTAACCAGAAAACACATGGGTGAGAAGATCTTTAAAAAATATACTTCACACAATACAATGATGTCATGCTGTAATGCAATGATGTAATACACACGTCATGTAACGTCCTTAACACCCTGCTTGAACGTGGATTCTCAAATTTCCAGGCCGCGGTTGGTAAATTAGTATACAAATAATAAACCTTGTATACCTGAAATCGTGGTTGGTAAGTCGACGTTTGGTGAGGGATTGCTGTATATACCTCCTTTTGAGGCCACAGTGTTGTTTACAAATACGTTGAGTTATATGTGAACTGTATGTGGGCCACTACCAAATGCAATCTCACCAAATAATCCATTGTGGCTGCTAGTGGCTAAACATCCCATTTAAAGAAAAATCACCTGGATTCACACCCAGCAAACACTGTCACCACGTCCTGCTGTAAACTTGGGAAGAGTCCTGAGACTGTAAGGCTTTCCTCGAAGTAGAGTAATCATGAGTCGGTGGGTCTCTGGGTGATGAATCAATGAGTCTCTGTGTTAGTCTATGGCTCTGTGTGGCCAGTCTATGGATCTTGCTGTTAGTATAACATCAAGCCCTTATTCCAGACAGCCTGAATACTTGGATTGCGAGCCTGGCCTCGCGCATTCGTTGGCGTGCAAACGCATGGATCACTGATGGCGACTGACATCCTTAGTGGAAGATGCATAGGGCTGTTTGCTACTTCATGTGGGAACAGCGATGTTGCTACAGCTCCTTTTCCCTACTGATCAGGATGAGAGGATGAGCTGGTATGCGCACAGAAGTTGTTCAGTACATAGTCCCTGGTGCGTTGACCAGCATCGTCTGGAAGCCTCCGTCTGCCAATCCTACTTCAGTTCTCCCTCCTGTCTTGTTCTACAACTGCATGAAATACTTTTGACTGGACCTCGGCCACAGCTGCTTTCTTTTCGTGATATGCAGAATTTAAATCTACCTCCAACTCGACCTTTCTACGTGTGCCAATAGCAGCTGCCACGCATTCTTATTCAATATGGGCTCTTTTTAGCTTCATGGCTGCCTCCCTTACATGATAGGGGGTGCGCATGCGTGCAGCCTCTGCTTTAGTACGTGCCATGGTAGCATCTGCACCAGTCTTCAATATGTTTGATTTCAGTGATTTTCAAGATTTTGCAGTGTGCTTAGAGGAACCAACTCTCAGCCTTTTTTATTCCTGTCCATGAGGTTCTCAAGATCCTGGTTGATGTATTTTTGAAGGAATCGTTCTTGCAGGCTTTCCTCAATATTGGTTCTTGTTGAGAATGCAAAATAATTCCCAAACGGCAGTAGGTAACGTCCATAGATGGACATCAACTGATTCATAGCTAGTTGGATTGACTCAAGTGCTTACAGAATTTATGTGGAACATATCTTCAATCCTTTCCCATGCTCGTTGAAATTTTTCACAATACTCATCTATGTCAGTTTCGTGTTTCTCCCAGGCCCAATGCATGACTGTAACTGCCTCATGAGGCCTCGCATAGTCGAGAGTCTGCTGTGGTTGAGCCGGAGCCTCACCACCGGTTGTTTCTTTAGGTGGAGTAATTTTCTTTGCAGGTCCAGGTTCTGCCATGGATCATGCTTGTAAGCCTTCTGCAGATGAACTTTGATTCACAGAGATAATTGTCTTGATATGTGCTAGCAGATGTCCTATCGTTCTTCAGGGAAAGATGCAGTAGCGGCTTGTGACATTTCCACGAGGTGGGACTGTTGTGAGTGACCTCGTCATATTATTGGCCTTCCTGTGAAAGTGATATAACTGTCTTATCTACCAACGGTGGGCATTTATAAACACCATGAAACAAAAGAACAAAGCACTCAAATGCTGCCCCCATGACCCTCAAGTCCACACAACACACCCCTTTGATACTGCCCAAAGCCGTGACCTGCTATATTTGCACAATGCAACCTAGTGTTGTGACAGTAAATACAGCCATGGGCGCCTTTTTCACCGCCCTAAATGGGTCTCACGTGGCGTGGTGAAAATGCTAAGCTAATCGCAATGCGTGAAGGGATGTCTCTCATTTGGAGGCCATTCACGGCCGCACCGAGTCCTCCCTGAGGTACAAATCAGACTGTCAACTTTACATGTTATCTTCATTAGGCAATTAACGTTGAAAGAATCATGATATTTCAAATATATATAAACAGAAACATTTTCTAGAAAAGTATTTTTATTACAAACTCGTGGTAAGTGCTTGGCGTTGCCCGGGCGAAAAAGGCAGACACACACATAGACTTACACACACATATCGACTCACACATACATAGACTCAACAACAACAACCGCCATTCAGCACTAAGTGGCGGTGATGTCTCCACAACGCTTGTGCCAGGCTATGTGCACCTTGAGGCCACGTGAAGTGTCGAACGCCCGCTGGCAGGAGGTTACGGGGCAGACCCAGATGCCACAGGTCGACTGACTGAGATGACTGGCTGATGCACCACCTATGCCCCCTACTGTGGCAACTTGCTGTGCTTTAGCCACCCAGCGCTCTGCTCATAGTGAGCGTCACTCCTCCGCCCCGCATTGTTGTTGGAGGACGACTGCCTCCAAGTGGCTAGTAGCGTCGTTCACGAGCCTCCTCCACAGAGGCCGATCTTGAGACTACTGGTACCAGTCATCGTCAAGTCCACTCAGCTGCACATCCTCCTGCAGCACATCACGCCATCTCTTCTCTAGCCCGTGCTGCGCGCGTTTAGCCCCCTTGATCCAGCCGAATAAAAGATGTTGAGGCATGCGGTGGCTGGGCATGCGGGCTACATTGGCCAACCAACACAGCCTTGCCTGCCGGAGGAGCTCACGGATGGGACTTTGTCCACATCTTAAAAGGATTTGTGAGCTCATCACATAATCTAGTGTGGTTAGACCCAGGATGGATCGTAGGCAGGCCAGCCGAAATGTTTGTAACCGGTGAAGCTGTTCAATTATGGGGGTCCACGTTTCGCATGCGTAGAGAAGGGAGGGAATGACTGTAGCCGAGAAGACCTGAAGCTTGGTGCGGAGCAACAGAGCAGGTAGCTTGCACAGAGCGTTATGCACCCGATGAAAAGACAATGCCACTGGACTGATTCGGAGTGAGACCTCTGTTGTTGAACCCGGAGGCGGTCATGAGCACACTAGCCAGGTATGGCAAACTCTCCACTCTCTCCACAACCGGCCCATTACCAATTGGGAGTTGTGGGGGTGGAGTGTCCGATGGTACAAAATACCCAGGCAGGTGCTTAGTTTTGGTGGGGCTGATGGCAAGGCCCCACCTCCTAGTGGCAAGCTCGAGGTTCAGCAGCAGCGTCTCCAACTCGTCCTCTGAGTGAGCAGCAATTACCAGATCACGGGCATACATAACATGGTTGAGCAATAGGGAGCCATCTCTTGACCGCACCCGGGCATCGATCAACCTCTCATTGTATCTGTAGCAGATTGAAGGCTTCACGAACTACGTGGTAAAAATAGATGTAAAATAATGTGGGAGCCAGAGGACATCCCTGTCGCACCCGAAGGTGTAGAGGGAATGGCTCGGATTCCCGGCCTTGTAGTTTGACCCGGCCGGCAAAGAATATGAAATCCTGCAGTCACGAAAGCTGTAAGTGAAGATAAGTAATGTAAGAATATGAAGGTGAGATTAGAAAAAATTGGTGTATTTGAACGTGATGCTGGCCACCCACCCCCTCATTGCCCATGTCAGCCTTCATAGGTGCTCGCCAACAGCACTCTTTTATGGCTATACAGGGGATCCTTGTCTTGTAATGTGTGCGTGTATATTGTGTATAATCTGTATGTCTATATCTATATCTACAGAATGAATCGCATGGAGAAGAGACCCTCAACACAGCCTGGTGATAAAACGCACCAGTGTTTATACAGCACGGATCGCATTGTACGTTTGAAGCAGCAACAAAGCATACGCAGGGCCGAGAAGCCCTTCAAGTGCATTGTATGTGGTAGGGCATTTGCAGAGGCAGGAACTCTTAAGAAACATAATAGAACACACACGGGCGAGAAGCCCTTCAAGTGTACTGTGTGTGGGAAGGCATTTGCTCGTTCAGAAACTCTTCATATTCATCAGAGAACACATACCGGTGAGAAGCCCTTCAAGTGCACCGTGTGTGGGACGGCATTTGCTCGTTCAGAAACTCTTCATATTCATCAAAGAACACACACGGGTGAGAAGCCCTTCAAGTGCACTGTGTGTGGGAAGACATTTGCTCATTCAAAAACTCTTCAAATTCATAAGAGAACACACACAGGTGAGAAGCCCTTCGAGTGCACTGTGTGTAGGAAGACATTTGCTCATTCAGACATTCTTCATGTTCATCACCGAACACACACCGGTGAGAAGCCCTTCAAGTGCAGTGTATGTGGTAAGGCATTTGCCGAGTCAGCAAATCTTAAGAAACATAATAGAACACACACAGGCGAGAAGCCCTTCAAGTGTACTGTGTGTGGGAAGGCATTTGCTCGTTCAGAAACTCTTCATATTCATCAGAGAACACACACCGGTGAGAAGCCCTTCAAATGCACTGAGTGTGGGAAGGCATATGCTCATTCAGAAACTTTTCATATTCATCAGAGAACACACACCGGTGAGAAGCCCTTCAAGTGCACTGTGTGTAGGAAGGAATTTGCTCATTCAAAATCTCTTAATGTTCATCGGAGAACACACCAAGTTCATAAGTCCTACAAGTGCCTGGTGTGTGGGAAGGTATTGGCTCATTCAAAATCTCTTAGGAAACATAAGACGATACATTCAGGTGAGAATCCTTTCAAATGCTCTGTCTGTGGAAAGGCGTTTACATTATCAGGAAACCTAAAGAGGCATGAGAAGATACACAAGGAGAAAGTGAAATCGACTTGTGAAAGTCAACATGCTGCAATGTGCCTATCTCTCATGAAACGAGAATCAGAAGAAAATTCCAACTTGGCAACACAGCCAGGAGTGACGGTGAAATGTGAAGAAGTGAAATGTGAAAAAGTGATGGTGAAATGTGAAGATCAAGATTCGACTCCAGCACCCAATCTACAAGTGGATGGGTGCAGCGTGAAGCAGGAGGAGCATCCTAATTCTGAAGGAGAGCGAGGCAATCCCCAGCAGTTTGTGGATGTGGAGGTGTGGGTGGAGTTTTTGAAAAAATCTGAGTAGGAGGGGCCAGCACGTGTGAAATGGCACCTTGGAAGATGTGTCACCTGGAGTTTGAGACGATTTTCCATAGCATTCGCCTTATTCACAGGCTCCTGTCATTTAAAGAATGCATAGGGGTTTAGGTGTCTTCCAAGCAGAGATGGGCTTTCTGTCCATATGAAGTTATGGAGTGTCGAAGTTAAATAGTCGATATGCAGAACATTATCCTGCCTTATAAAACACGAATTAGGAATGTATTTTGATGGTTAGATATTCAATTAATACAGACGTACCTCGTAATTGCTCATTAGGGACCAGAGCACTGCAATAAACCTAAAATAGCAATAAAGCGAGTCACGTGCTTTCTTTTCACTTGCGAATGCATATAAAAGCCTTAAAACATGTTTAAACTACACTATATTCAACGCGCAATGCAGCTACAGTATGCCTAAATTAACGATGTACGTAAATAAATAGAAAAGTTTAAATTACGCCGACTGATTCGCTAAGTTCACATGCAAAAAGTGGGAGTTGCAATCTGATCAGCCAATCAGATTGTAAATGATGTATATACGTAATTATTCATCTAATCTTATTCTCTTGCTCAGTTGAGAATCTTGAGATGCCACATTTATCTTAAAATTCCACATTTATAAAAAAAAAAAACTTAATTATAGCGAAGCGCAATAAAGCGAAGCGCAATAAGGCGAGGTACGCCTGTAAGTATGAATTGTAACTGTTGGACATTACTATTAAAGTGGCTGTCAGGTGTGACCATTCTTTTCTGCATGCTCTCAATCTGTTTTTGATTGCTTTTTAAATACACTTTAATAAAAGAAAAGGTAAGCATTTTTGTAATATTTACATTTGGGTTTATACACTAAATATATATGTTCATAATATCAAAACAATTTAAAGTCAGGTTCTACTTTCTGCACTTGTTTTGCTTTTAATCCCTTTGGGTTTCATTTAGTTGGTCTTAGCCTGATGTAACTTTTTTAAATTGTATATGATGGTGACAACAGGGGTCTGCAAGTCTACTGTACATCCCACCCAATGGCTGTTCACGCACTTTGCATAGTGTAGTTGTGGTTTATAGTGCAGTGTAGTGTCAAGTGTGCAGTGCATAGTGAAAAGTATGTGGTAAATTTCGTGATGTGGTGAAATGTGTGGTGGGTTCAAATGAGTCGCAGACATAGACTTTGGAGGCAGCGCATTTATTTAGTTCCAACACACGGGGTACACTTCTCCTTAACAGAATAACAACCTTGGGTGGTGACCACCCGGCTAACTACGCCAGTTACCACGTAACTGTTACTACGGATCCGGGACCAACAGCATCTGCCCGGGTCCACGTGCTGGAAGACTCATAGAATGGAGATTGTAGATGAAGGCTTCTTTTCCCAGGATTATTCACCTCGGTCCGTCTCGGGACCTGGCTTATATTCTCTGCGGCATGGCCGGCTCTGCCCTTGGCCACGTCCACCTTCCAGAACCATCGGGAAGGACCTGTGTCCCAATCACGTGACCCCCTAGCCCCCTCTTGGGGGCCCCTCTGTCATCTTAACCAATCATGTGTCCTCCCGGGTCAACCAGAGTGCCATGGCCTTGCTCGACCTCGACCTTCCCCTTTGGTCAACACCCACACACCGTGCCCCTCTAGGGCCGGTACTGCACCCACAGCATGGTGACATCCAGTGATGTCACTACATCACCCCCCCCCCCCCCTTCGTAAAACTCAGCCATCCCGGCTGTCAACTCCCCCTCAGAACAAAGCCCCTGCACCAGAACACAGCCCCCTAGCGCGCCTCAACAAATAAATACCCCATCCCATATATACAATATCTACACTATATACAGTGCCGAATGGGGGAAGGGAACAGAGGGACAGAACACAACAATAGGCAACAACACAATGGAAGAGAGAAAGAGAGGAACAAAACCACGCGGGTACACAAAACCTCGGGACCCCCCCCCACCAGCACTAGCATCACCCACCCTCGAGGTGTAATAACACCCACAAGCACAATAAAGGCCAGGTTCAGCCAATGACCAATATGACATGACGAGTGCGACAACCAACCGACGGTATGGGAGTATGTGTGTGTGTGTGCGTCACGAAAACCGAACAGTCTTGGAATGAGTCATTGTAGCCGGGCCCCCAGACGAGGTAGGCGTAAGCTCCCGGGGGGTCCCGGGGGGAATTTGAAAATGTCCCGATGAGCCCGGCTCCTCATGAAGAGCAGTCGGCCCGGCAAACGGGCCCTCCATTCCCGAAGCTTTTGGAGATGACTCAGGTGGCGGCTTGGAAAAAGTTGAACGCGCGGAACCTGAGGGCGGGATCACAACTCCCCTGAGGACCAACCTCAGCGGGTGCGCGCCCCAGCTCGCCCGACACACCCGACACTCGGCTTCTTTGTTGCGGAGATGAGATGAATTCATGCGGCGCAATGAAAGGTTTTAGGGGTGAAGGGTGGACAAACCAACTCCGCCGATTTCAGTGAATTTGAACACACCGAGGCCGAACGGCCCAAATCGCATCAACCGGCCCCCTCCAAGGTTTAAACAATTTCGGTGATGTACCCACCGGTTCTTGAGGACAGTGCAGCCAGGCTCTGTGACCTGGAGCCCACTTATATCCAGAAAAACGGAGACCCCTCAGCCACTCATTTGCCAACTAGCATGAATTATAATTTTCTCTGGAAGCCTCGCGCACTTCCAAAAGCCTCTGAATGGTAAGGCGCATGGGCTCCAAAATTTTAGATTTAGGCCCGTTTGGCTCGGTTCGTAATTGAACAAAAAAATGGCGAGTAGCCGGTGGATGTGTGAGGGGCCATTCTATAGGCAGCCAGGACCCTGGGGACATGCAAGTCCCAGTCGACCTGGGACTTGCTGATCTGATGGCTTAACACGGAGGTCAGAGTCATGTGAACCCTTTCCACCATCCCATCCATCTGGGGGTGGTAAGGCGACGTATATAATTTATTTGTTCCCAACAAATCACACACCTCCCGCAACAATTTAGAAGAAAATTTACCCTGATCGGTCAGAAGACACTCAGGGGTCCCCTTGTCCATCACATAGTTGTCGAGGAATGCCTCAGTGAAGCGGCCAGGCCATCGGCCACCGTGAAAAATATTCGACGCCCACAGTAAATACTTATTCCTGCGAGGGGTGGTAGGAAATGGACCGATGACATCAAGAGTGACCAGCTCATTTATGCGGGAGATGCAAATGAATTGCAAAGGTGGACAACAGGGTTTAGACGGGGTGTTACTGCAGAGCGCACTGTACACACATCTTCAACACATTGGCGACATCTTCCGCCATACAGGGCCAGAAAAAGTCGAGCTTAAGTGTAGCTAGCGTCTTATGCACACCCAGGTGCAGAAGTTGCTCGTGCACTGCCCAAATGATTTTACCCCGCAGGGCAGTGGGCACGACGATGTAATGGCACAACCCTCTGTCCCAATGCATCAGCAACCCACCTCTAAGAATAACAGAGGCTACTCCCCGTCGATCCCCAACGCCGTCTGCTCCCTTGACACGGTGTCGCAATTTACTCAGCCTGGAGGCGTCCACACTCCGGAAGGGCCAAGCCAATAGCGGCGTCACGCGCCTCAGGACCGTTGGCGTCTTCAGGGGTGTCAACCTCAACCGACGCCGCAAGGGGAAGGGGCGAGACCTCGGCAGCCGTCTTATAGTGTCCCAAGCCCGAGAAACACGCGCACCCGTCGTTTGTTGGCAAATCGCGACAGTGCATCTGCGTTCATGTGTCGGGTACCTTTGCGGTAGGAAACCGTAAAAGAATAGTCCTGCAGCACTTCCAACCAACGTGAAAGTTGGCCAGACTTTTTAATACGCAGCGTGTACGTACGTAGGGCTGCATGGCCAGAATGCACCTCAAAGCGTCTGCCATAAAAATTGTGGTGATACTGCTGCACAAAAAAAACTATAGCCAAAAGTTCCTGGAATGTGACACAGTACCGTTGTTCGGCTGGAGACAGAACTCTGCTGCCATATGCTACAATGCTCTCCACGCCATACACGACGAGACAGAACAGCGCCAATTCCGGTGTTACTAGCGTCTATATCAAGGACAAGCGGAAAGGAAAAGTCAGGGTTTCGGAGGGGAAGGGAGTTCATCAGGCCATCCCGGAGTGCAACAAATGCGGCCTCCCCCCACTCAAACTTCTGACCCTTTGCCATCAAGGCGTGGAGAGGCTTGGCGATAGTGGCGAACCTGGCGACAAAATGGCGGTAATAGGACGCAAAACCAATGAAACTCCGCACCTCCCCCACCGACTTGAGGGTCGGCCAAGAACGTACGTACGCAGTTTTGTCCGGGCCCGTCGATATCCGAGACCTACTATGTGGCCAAGGTACCGAACTGATTTTTGGAACAGGTGACACTGCGGTTTAAATTTGAGGTTCGCCGCGCGCATTTTAAGAAAGATAAACGTAACCATTCCAGGTGTTCCTTAAACGTACGGCTAAAAACAATAACATCGTCAAGATATATCAGGCACGAATCCCACTGGAGGCAACCAGAACCAGTTCCATCAATCACTGGAACGTAGCCGGCATGGAATGAAGACCCATTGGAAGCCGATTAAATTCAAATAATCCTTGTGTACGTAAGGCTGTCTTGGGCTTAGAGGACTCATCTAGGGGCAACTGCCAAAATCTCGATAGGAGGTCAACAGTCAAAAAATAATGTGCCCCTTCCAGAGCATCCAGGGAATCGTTCATTCTTGGAAGGGGGTACGCGTCAGCCACAGAGATTTTATTAAGTTTATGGAAGTCAACATAAAAGCGCAAACTACCATCCTGTTTTTTAACAAGAACGATCGGGGCTCTCCATGGGCTGTTGGACGGCGAGACAATATCGGCTGCCAACATCTCATCAACCGCCAGCCGTACGTAGTCTTTTTCTGTGGGGCTCAGCCGATAGGGGTTCTGCCGAATGGGAGCGGCGTCACCCGTATCGATCTGGCGACTCAAAAGGATAGTGCGGCCAATGTCGAATTTGCCTTTGCTAAACACGTCGGATAATTAATGCAAAAGCGCCCTCAACTCCCTCCTCTGAGTCTCGGACAATTCAGGGTTTTCAGAGAAGAGCGCATCCATCCACTTATCATCGGAAAACTGTTGCAGCTCCGTAACCGACGTGACCCCCACTCCGCCAACGATGTTCCCTTCGCGAAGCGCGGGCGACGCGTGAACTAGCACGGTACACTGCTGTATGACTGACGCGTCCAACCCTGTATTGACCTGAATGAACGGTTCCTGGTTATTGGACAAGAGTCTGGGCCCCCACTACCGTCAACCCACGAACAGCTTTGTTTGAGAGATCTAGTAGGATTCCTCCCGCAGTCGCCTCCTGGTCAAGCGGTTTCCGCAAGCGTATGGGAACCAACATTTGCGTGCCGGGAGGAATCTTTATGGTCTTACTCGCAAGCGCTTGAACAGTAGCGTTGGCTGTGCGCAATCGAGTTGGAGAAGGCAAAAAGGCCATGCGACGGCCCGATGGCAACTCGAGACAACCCTGGTCTTTGAAAATTTTCAAGGGCATCTTCCCCAGGAAGTCAGTCCCAAGCAATCAGGGAACAGCAAGGGCCGTTGACACAAGAACCCGTCAATTTGAAATCTCCAATAGACAATTTTGCCGTTATCTGTCCAATGATGCTCAATGAGCCGCCGTTTTCGGCAAAGTACGGAACCCTGACGGGACATAGGGTACGACACTTACGGGGCAGATTGTTATAAATTAACTCGGAAATGACAGTCGCGGATGCACCGGTATCTATGAGCATTCTAATTTCAACCCCCTCTATCATTCTGATAACAG